CAAATTAAAATCATGCATGTATTATTAGTGTTAAAAATAAAAATAAAATTTTTTATTTTTCTATATAAAGTAGTGAAAAAATATGTAATTTAATAATGATATTAAATTTTTTAAAGAATAATAAAATTTAAATTATATTATTGATTGTTGTAAATTAAAATTAGAATCTTGATCAATGTAAATTAAAATTATTATCTTAATTAATTATTACACTTGACATAGAATTTAAATTTAAAAAACAAAATATTACAAAAAACAAAAATATATATACTAAATTTAACATTTTTTAAAAGTTTATAGGTAACTTATCAACAGTCAAAAACAATTCCGTTTGTTAAAAAAAATAATTATTAAGTAGATCAATTTAAAACAAAATTGATAGTTTATAGATCATTTAAAAAAATTATTTCTAAATTAAAGTAAAATAAACCACATGATTAACAAATTATTTATTGAATTTAACCGATATTTTCACAAAAAGCTTAGCAGTTAAGTCTTGTAATTGTATAGCATAAGCTGGCGCAATGGTTATAGTCAAGTCACTACAATGGAAAAATTTTTTAACTTAATTTAATGGTTAAAAATATTTAATAATTAACAAAATAATTAATATTTATTATTTAATAAATTAAAAATAATTTATAAATAATTTTTTTAAATATTATAATTAATTATTTTTTAAAAAATTATAAATTAACTAAATTAAAATTAAAATTAATATCCTTAACAAAGTCTTTGGTAATAATAACTTCAACCTCAACTCATACTTGAGGGTGTTGTCAGAGCCACGTACACAAATATTTTTTTTTATAAATAATTAATTATAATATTTAAAAAAAAAATAAAAATTTATAAAAATCTTTTATTTTATTAATTTAAAAATTTTTAATCCCTCGCTACATCATTTAAAAATAACCCCTAAACCTAAACTTATCAACACTCAACAGGATAGAAAAGGCTCAAGATTGACGGTAAATGCTAACGGCGTCACGTGGCTGTCACGCTTCTGTCACCACTCCCCCAATTAGCGCCACGCAAGCAATTGCTTACCAATATGGATTTTCATTGTGGCATATCATGGGCCTCACCGTGAAGGGAAAATAATTAGGGGTGGGTAATTTTTAATTACAGATTAAATTTGAGTTATATTTTATATTTGGTTTGAAATTTTTTAGATATAAGTTTTTAAAGTTGGTACTTATTTAAATATTTAAAAATTTATGAGCTGAAACTTTCAAGTCTAATAGTTCATCTTTAAATCTTAATATTTAAATTTAATTGATTAAAATTTCTACTTTTACCAACAAAAAAGTATGATATGTCTAAAGCAATCAAACTAGCAATTACAAAAAACCACTAATATGTTAATTTTAAACTATTATATCAAATGATTATTTAGTTGTTTTAATTTAGCTTTTGCATTATAACAAACAGTTATTTAGTTGTTTTAATTTAACTTTTGCATTTTATGCTCTTGGCCAAAAGAAAAAAAAAAACTGTATAAAGTTTAACTATATGATTTTACATAGCTAATACATAACAATTGAAATTTTCTGCCCATACATAAGTTGAGTATTTTCACTTAAATTAATTTATTTTTTAATTATGATTTGTTTGTTAAACAAAATCATCAAGTTAATTTGTATAAAATTGATGAACTAGGAGAACTAAAAAGAACCAAAGAGAGAGTAAATCATTTTCCAGCGAACACAACATACCAAACTATAGGATTATTATGGGCGCACGGATGCGAAAAGATCAAAAGCCAAGTGGGAGTCGGAATGTATATATTTACCTTTTTGCCATCTTCAGTGAGGACCGGATGATCGCAGAGGCTGAGATAGAGGTCCTTTAAGGAAGAAACGGAGGGCAATGCGAGAACCAAATTCTGGTAATCAGTCGGCAGGAACTTAACCCAAACGGCATCGGATTTGGCGATAAAATTGAAAAAGGGGGAAACTGATAACAATCTACAGGCATCGAGAGGACTGGTTGTAGGGGTGGGTATTAGTTCGGTTCGGTTGGAATTGAACCTGAATTGATGATTTTAATCGATTGATTATTTTATAAAATAATAACCAAAAACCAAACTGAATAATATTCGATTATTCGGTTCGGTCACTAAATTAATCGATTTGGTTGATATCAATCTTAATTTTAACCGATTCTAATCTTAAGCCCTTAGCTACTCTTCTTTTTTTTTTTTTTGTTTTTGAGATTGGGCCTTTCGATTTGTGGCCCAACCCAAATATCCAACAAATGCTGTGATCCATTTTCTTTAATTTTATGATTTGGATATTTGGACCAAATATCCAAAGTGACAAAGTTAATAAACCATCACATTTCATAAGTTCATAAAAAAGACAGCATCATTCGCTATCGAACTGTGTCAAAGACTCAAAAGGATAGGCACACACCCCAGAAACAGTGGTGATACTCCAACCCAGAAAGAAACTAGCAAAGAAATTCCCCTAGAAAGAACACATGAGACACATCAAATGTTTGGAAATAGCTTTTTGAGGGTATCGTGCAAATGAATTTCACACTTGTGACTGATTACTATTTGTCACCGAGCCACCAACTGATAATCATACTAAACTTCCATGAAAAGCTTTCAATTAGGTTTCCAAAACAGAGGTTTCAAAAATCATCTTAACATCGTAAGGCAACAGAAAGCAGCTAACAACTATCTTGAACATGGTACGGAATTTAAATGCCCACCTCAAGAGGTCCAACCAAAACAATAGGCTTCATTGTGTCATAGATCCCAAAGTACATGCCTTGGTATAGAGTGATTCCCATGATTGAACCCCAAATCCACAATATAAACCTACAATGCCATCACTTGACAATGTTTTCTGGTAGACATCCAAAAGCCCTTTGAACTGTCATTGGCCATTAACTGAGCATTGTATTGCATCAGTGCCAAGCCTGGTACATGCATAATCCAAATGATATAGCAACAACGATGTAGTTGCCCTAGCAGCACTCCCTGAAGCCACATTTCTAGCAAACCACTTCGCATAACCATCTCTCTCTTTTGAGCGTCCAAAATAGCTTTTGAAGTAACCTTTAAATGCAAAGTTGAGAGCCTATGAAAATAGAACATCTACTTAGTAAAAAGTATACAACTATATAAAGGATAAGATAATATTTTACAATAATCATGCAATAATGCAAGCAGCAAAATGCCAATTGTCACAATTCATGTTGAAACATTTTCATTTGTAAAAAGCCCAAAAATAAAATATCTCTCAATTGTCAACAAGGAAAATAACATCAGAAAATCAACATTTCATGATGGTTCAGGAGCCTGCAAAGAACCAGGATACCAGACAGAGGTTAATAGGTTATATCTAGGTCGTGACACAATAACCATAGCAAGTTCAGGGTGGCATAACTGGGAAGAGCAATATGACAACACCTCAAAGTATTCCATCGAATGAACATATTCTTTTTAACACATATGGCACAAATGAATTGAGCAGGTGCTCATTGACAGTTCACACACATTAAGTCTAGGTCTATCCATCAAATTAACAACTCATGGGCTTAATTGGGTACTCTCAAGAATCTTTTAATACTTGGCAAGCATTTGTAGCTTGACATAAGTAGTTTGTGGTCTCTATCAAGTTAATAAAAGATCTTTAAACAGCATAACATAGCAACTACATTAAATAAGTAAAATCAATTGAAAAAAAGAAACCAATAACAGAATACTAATTGGAATTGAAATATCATGTATTTCATCAAGTACCTACATTGCATCACATTATCACAAGGTATTATTAAAGTATAAACTTTTCTGTTCAAACACTAAGACAAATTATAGTAACAAAGTAACAAGCCTAATTTGTAACATAAATATTAGTTAAACTAATCAACTATTGATACCAACTACCAAGTGACTTAAGTTTAGAAAATCACCATTCTTCCTTAACACAAGTTGCATGTTCTGTCTAATTGCCATCTCTCAATACTTCAAAGCTGTCTAAAAGACGTCCAAAAGAAAGTCTTTGTCCAAAAGAAACCTGCCTATCCAAAAAAAATCTATTTTTCCAAAAAAAAAAAAAAAAAAAAACTTGTCTAGCTAATAGGCCCAATACCACATGACACAAAACGTGTTATACACAATGCAGGCCACAACCCATAGCATCATTTGATTTTAAGCTAACAAAAAAACGCATGTACACTTGTATCTACGACAATTAGCAAAAATAAAAATTAGTTAGTTAAAATTATAAATAAGCAAAAGAAATAACTGAAAAAGCTTACCTCAACATTAAGTTAACATAATTTTAAATTGTTTAGAAATTTACCTTATACCTTACCATTTGTAAATCCATCGTTCATTCAAGAATGGTGGAATCCAAATGAATCTTATCAAACTCTGTAAAAACAATTAAAAAAAAATTCATGGTTAAAATTTTTTCAATTGCATAAGTAAATAAATAATTGAATTTGAAAGAAACATGTAACATACAACATATTACCTTTCTCTAAACTGTCTAGTGTATCCAAATCCTCCTCCTCCATATCAAAAACAGCCTTATCTCTCAACCAATCTTGTGCACAAATGAGAGCTTGTGCCATTCTTGGTGTCAATGACGATCAAAAAGCATCAAGGACCCGACCTCTAGTATTGAATGCTGATTCAGAAGCAACAGTAGATATTGGAACTACCAAGACATCTCTTGCCATGGTTGCTACCATTGGAAATCTATGCTCATTCATCTTCCACCACTGAAGAACATCAATATCTTCGTTCTCATCCTTGGGATCGGGATCTTCTGCCAAGTACTTCTCCAACTCTGCTTTTCTGCCCTTCTACCATTGGCAGCTTTAAATTTCTTGTAGTCAGACCTCACTTCAGATGTTTGCACTCTATTTTTCGGATCTGCCACACTTTGGATATTAGTTGTAGAGGTAGAGCTGCTTCCTTGTTCATCAAATGATTGAGGGTCACTTGATTTCGTAGTAGAGGAATTCAACCTCTTGTTTTCTTCAAACAATATTCCCATCTCACGTTTGACCAAGGCAACATAAAGAGGCCCATTATCATCAAGTTCACCATTAGGTTTACGGCCATACATCTTTAATATTAAATACTCCAAATAATCCATCTTATACCTTGGATCCAACACCACTGCAAAGAAGATGTTTTTGTTCATCTCCCCTGGATCCCCCCCATATTTTTTATACTTTTTCCTCATTTTACCAGCAAGATCATGAAGATCCACATCCTGTTCCCATTTTTTAAGTATATGATCAACCTACAACTAAAATAATTCAGTAAGATCTAACTTATAATTTAATTGAAATAAAATATAACTTATAAAAGAAAATATATTACCTCACTAAGTTTAGGAAAATATAAATTACTGGTAGTATACAAGGTTCCAGAGACCTTCCCCGTCAAGTCGTAGAAATGAAGTAGAAATTTGATTAATCTTCTTACATTTTCCCAATCTATGCAAGAAGGGAATCTAGGAGCATTGGGACCATCATTTAACTCATTCTTCATGTGTGGGTCTTGTCTTGCATATCTTAAAAAAAAAAAAATGAAACCATTAGATAAATAGTTAAGATTTCTAACTAAAAACTATTAAAAACAGAAAATATAAATAAAATAAAATAAGACTAACCTCTCAAAAGCTTCCTCAAACCTCTCAGTAGTGTCCAACATTAAATAAAGTGAATTGCACCTTGTTGGGACATCCAAACATAATAGCTTTTTGGATTCAATTTCTACCCACTCACAAGCCTCCTTAAATCTCTTTAACCTCATAGGACTTTGCCTAATATACTTAACTGTAGCCCTAATTGCAGTCACAGATATATTCATCTCTTTCTTTTTGGTACCCTCACCAACAACCAAGTTTATGATGTGGGCTGCACATCTCATGTGAATGTCTTTCCCACCAAGAATAGCAGTTCCCCATTTGTTCACTGCATCTTTTAAAACCCTCACAAGTCCATCATTTGTTGATGCATTATCAGCAGTTAATGCATAAATTTTCTCTAATCCCCAATCCTTCAAACATCTAACAAGAAGATCTCTTAACTCATCTCCTTTATGGCTATCAACAGGATAGAAACATAGTATTTTCTTATGTAACTTCCACTTAGCATCAATGAAATGAGCAGTCAAGCTCATATAAGTGATTCTTTGTAAGCTGGTCCAAGTGTCGGTGGTTAATGAAACTCTTAAATTTGATTCTTTGAAAAAAATTTTCAAGGCAGTTCTATGTTCTGCATAGATCTTATAGCATTGTCTAGTAATGGTTCTCCTAGATGGAATTTTAAAAGTTGGTGGCAATGCTACTTCACAAAACCTCCTAAAGCCTAATTTTTCAACTAAGCTAAAGGAGTCTTCATCAATGATTAACATTTCAGCCAATGCTCTCTTCACTGCACCTTCATCAAACTTCCAAGTTCCTAAATCCATCACTGTCTTACTTCCATCTACTTTACTAACATACTTCAATAGTGTATTGTTTTTCAAATTACTAGGATTTTTCAAGCAACATTCAATATGACCATTCATGGTAGAAGTACCATTTCTCCTAGATTCAGCACGCAACACCTTTCCACAATAATTACATCTTGCTTTGTGCTTACTAGTAAATGGATCATCAAATGCAGTGAAGTGTAGCCATACCTTTGACCTTTTTTGTATACCCTTTCTTTTCTTTCCAAGATTCCCACCCTCACCATCATTGTTCTGCAACTCAATAGCATTGTTTGCTATTGTTACATCAATATTAGCCACATTACTCCTGTCCTGTACCAAAAGAATCAAAATTTACATGATTAATTAAAAAAAAATTAAAAAATATTAACCAAATTCATTAATTGATAAGAAAATAATCAAATTCAATAAACTAAAACTTACAGCTTAGTTAATTCCATTTAAGTTATCAATCTCCATCTTGATATTTTGAATTTTGAATCTAGTAATAGAATAATCCAAATCTGCAACCAATTAAATATAAAAGATTAAAAATTATAATTACAAGCATTATATACAATATATTAAAAAAAATCTTAATTTTCTAACAATTGAAGCCACACTTCAACTTTCAAGCTCAATCTAGAAAATTTCACAAATTAATACAAGTAAATCTCCTCTGTACATGCATTACAATCTACCATAAATATAAACAAAAGTAAATTATAAATACAAGTAAATCAACAAATAAATTTAATTAGGCAAGTCCAAATTAATTCCATCCAATTTCTTTTTTTGGAAGGAATAATTTCAGCCGAATTCACCTTAGGATTGCTGCAGTCTATAGTAATAACAAAAACTACTAAAACACAATTTAATTGTAGTAAATTTAAACCACCAGAACAATATCAACACAAAAAAACATCAAAACTCATTGAAGATACTAGATAGAGAGGATTTTATTATTTATATTTATATTCTTAATTTTCTAACATTTCTTTATAAAATGCTACCATCCACCGGTTTCCTTCCCACGTCCAAGCTTGGTGCTTTCTTGCAAAACCCAACAGAACGAGAATCTGCTAATAGAGGTTTAAATTAGATTTCTTCTTTTCGTTTCTTTTCTTTTCTTTTCTTTTTTTAAGTCATTTATTAAGAGTTTAGAGAGAAAAGTGTTCAGCAACTCGATAGTCTCGTCGCCGGACGAGCTGGTTGCAGCCAGATGTCGGACTCCATCCCCAAAATCATGTCGACGACCCTCTTGAACCGCTTAATTGAAAAATCGAAAATGGAAGGAGAGATCGGAGATGAGGGGAATGGTGATAGCATTATTGTCACCACCACCATCACCGATCTGTAGATCTGGGCACTATCGTCACCACCATCATCACCGATCTACAGATCTGGGCACATCCTCATTATTTTTGACATTCACTCACCTCTGGCCTCCTCCGGTGACCATGAATCAAAGATCGAAGATGAGAGGAAAAATCGAAAATGGAAGGAGAAATCGGAGATGAGGGGAAAGGTGAAAGCTTGGATGAGATTTACTGGTTCTAAGGCCATGGAATATGATGATGATGACTAGAGAAGAAAAAAAAGATTTGCTAGCAATGAATGGTTGAAGCAGAGGGAAAGGAAACACTATCTTCTAAGTTCAATTTCAAGAAGAAATCAAAACATTGCTTTACTTTCAAACTATAGTACAATGCATGGGGAGAAAAAATAAAGAAAGAATTAGGGATTTTACCTGCAGTGACACCTTGCCAACGAAAGAAGGATTACAGTGATGAAGAGAGCAGATGGTCTGATGGTGTGTCTATGTATGAACTTTCAAAAATAGAAGATGAGAGATAGAATCAAGATCCATAGGAAGAGTCAAAAAGGAAAAAAAAAAAAGAGAAAGAAAGGATCCATAACAACTTACCAATTTCCTATTTAATTAAGAGCAGTATGGAGAGGAGTCGAAACCCATATGGAGAAAGAAAGAAACAAGAGATTTGGGCTTTGATTTTAGATTTTTGATGATGCACGGTAGAGATATGGCTGAATCTAAAGTAGATTCGCGTTAGAGTGGATAATGAAGAGAGTTCACAATAAAGAGAGGATGAGATCTTGGCCGACTGTGAAAGGGGGTGAATGAAGAGAGGAAGTGAGAAAAATGAAAGTGAAAGTGAAATGAGAAGGAAATACTAGAGATTAACAATGAGTCCATTTGAAACTTTCTAAATGGGGGTGGAGGGAAAGGTTTTGGCGGAGAATCGAAAGGCGGAGGAGGCAGGTAGATGAAACTTTTCAAGAGAGACTGAGAGGGAATCATCGAAATTTCTCAAATTAAGGTTTGTACTGAATGTAAATGTAATATGTTTTATATTTTCTTAAAAACTAATGCGGTTTTTCGGGTGTAATATTCGGTTGTTCAATTTTTGGGTTTGGAACCGAACACCGCACCGCTTAGAAACGGTTGAGGCCCAAAACTGCTACTTGGGCTCGAAGGCCATTTGTGCCCGCACCACAAGCCCAATTTTGGTGCGATTGTCGGGCAACCGATGGGTTGCCGGTGTGCGCGCCCAACCCTAACTGGTTGAGGTGATGATGGCGGTGAGGCAATCGATGGGAAAAGTGCAAAAATCCAGCAACTCTGTATCAAATTCGTTGATCGCTTGTACGAGTACTCATTGTCGCCGAAAATGTGGAATCCAAAATGTAAGGATATTGGAGTTTAATAAGGCATAAGCAATGCTAGGAGCACTTGCTTTTGCACCCTGTATTCTCCAACTAACACATTGTAACATGCTTTGACACTTTATCCCAAGAATGAAATTTTAATGGGTGCACCTAGCTTAGAAGCCCGATTCGCTATTAACCTTAAGGAAGATGCAACCTTCAATTTTATGTATTGGGCTTAAATATCATTTCTCTAAATTTGTATTTGTTCTGAAAAAAGAAGAAAAAAAAAAGGAAGGCAACTAGTTGTGGATGCTTGTAATAATTTAGTTAGTCAAATATGTTTTTATTGGCAATTAGACTTTAGTCCTTAGTGCTTTATAATATATATGGATAAAAATTATAAAGAAAAGAGGAAAGAAAAGGAAGAGAGGTGAACAAGGAAGGAGAAGGAGAGGAAAGGAGTAATAATAACTTTAGGTTAAATACCCCATTTGATCGCTCAACTTTTATTTTTGAGTTGAATCTATCCCTAAACTTCAAAAATTATCAATATTATCCCTAAACTTCAATTTTTGGAACCAATTTAATCATGCCGTCAATGGAAGTGCCAGATAGCACGTTAAGTTGCCAGAAAATCACACATTTTTTTTTAAAAACAATGATGTAAAAAAAAAAAAAACCAAAATGTTGTATTTTTTCTTTTTACTTGACATTTTAATTAAATTTTAATCTTCCACCATAATACTCAAAATTTTACATTTTACAAACATCATGAACCCTAAATCTAATTTCCAACTCCAAGACGTTAGATCCTTAACCCTCATTCACTGCCGACTTCTATTCTCCTTCTTCAATGGCGATGGCAACAACAATGGCTTCCTCCCTCCTCCTTCCTTTCTTTCTCTTTCTCCTTCCTCCCATTGCCTTTTTTTTTTTTTTTTGGAACAACTTTCTCCTCTTCCCTACTCACCTTCTCTCTCTGGACCCCTTCATCTCCAGATCTCCAAATCTAATGGCTTCCTAAGGAGGGCATCACTTTCTTCTTCTTCCTTTTCCCTTCACCCTGATCTATTGAACAAGAGAACCTAGATCTGAGTTCTCCTCATGAGTTGATCTGGGTTCTCTTAGAGAACTTGTGGGTTCCCCATTCAATTTAAGAAAGGAGAAGGATGGGGAGGAGAAGGAAGGAAAAAGAAAGGGGAAGAAGATGATGAATTTTTAGGTTTGTGATTAGAATTTTTACCATATATTTGTTTTTGATTAGGTGACCTTTTTTTTTCTACAAAAAATATGGTTGGGAACAACATTTGGGTATTTGATGGGTGAGTAAGGTTAGGGTTTGCAGAGGTAGGACAAAAGAATATTTTTGGTACTTTTTCTAATTTTCTTCCCTCAAATCTGTAGTTCCCCAAACAAAACAAGAGCAAGGTTCCTCTTCAAAAAGATCAAACTTGACCTATACTTTCAAGAATATTGATTTGAAGAGAGAAAAAGTTCATGCTTGCCTCGACAAAAAAAAACTCCAAAATTTTGCTTTAGATCTACTGGTATATGCAAATAAATGATAAAATCTTTCTTCAAGTAAGTATACCCAATAATTTTCCAACAAAAATTTCAAAATTTCATGAAGATTCGCAGAATATAAGAATGGGTATGGGCGATGATAAATGAAACAAAGACGAAGAATTAAAGAGAGGTTGAAGGAGATTGGGCAAAGTGAGGGAGTAGTGAGGTTTAAGATAAGGGTATTTTGGTAAATTCAATAAATATTAAAATTATAAAATGAGTTAAAATAATATGATTGATAAGGATAATTGTGTAACTTTAAGGATAAAATGCCAACTCATCTTTTCTCACATATATTTTTCCATGTCATTAGTTGAAAAAAAAAGGATTGATATTGTTCTGTTGATAGAAGGACCAAATTTGTTCCAAAAATTGAAGTTTAGGGATAGTATTGGTATTTTTTAAAGTTCAGGGTAAATTTGGTTTAAAAATAAAAGTTGAGAGACCAAATCAGGTATTTAACCATAACTTTATTTGGACACCTTAAATAAAGGAAGGAAGAGAAACGGGAATATTATATTTTTATTTAATTAAATAAATTTAAAAATTTATTATAAAATTAATTAAAATTTTATAATTTTATTTATTATAATAAAAGTTTAAAAATGTTATAGTTATAATTTTATATGATACTGTAAGTATATAACATGATTTATCGTTTTATATTAGTCTTTTTTTTATTTAAGAGTTTATTTATAATATTATATATATATTTTTATTTAACTTTATGTCTTACTTATTTAATATCATATCATAATTATAAATTTAAAATTATATGTATAACATTGTAACTATAATATTATGTATAAAAGTTAAAAGTAAAGATTTTAGTTACATTTTTTAAGAAAAATAAATAAATCTAATCACTCCAAATTTTTTCAAGAAGAATTAAAAAACAAAGGGATTTGAAAGGTTTTGTCTCCCTCCTTCTACCGCCCACTCTTTTCATCTTCTTTATTAGTTTTATCGAAAAAAAAGGGGAGGGGTGGGGCGGAGATTCACCTTATTCTCCTCTCTTTCCCCTCCAACTCCTTCCATCCAAACAAAGAATTATGGTAAAAGTAGGTTTTTTGTGGCAAAGTTGAAGAAGGTGGAAACTAGTGGCAATTTGCAGGCGTCGAAAGGCCTGGTTAGGGAGATCATGGCCGCAATCAGCGGGAAGTGCGCGGAAATCCAGCATCTCAATATCAACTCATTGACGCTGGAATCGGCTCTCATCGTCATTGGAAACCAAATACAAGGACATGGAAGAGGTTCTAAATTCGAGTTAAGTGAGGTGCAGATGGTTAAAAATTTGAAGAAGGTTAAGGGATAAAAAGGGTTAAGGGATTGAGGAAGTTGTTTTTTATTGTGTGATATAAAATAATATATATATTAAGTAATAAATATTAATAATTTTATTAATTATATTGATTAACAGTTATTTATATTCATTAATTACTTTTAATAATTAAATTAAATTGAGTTAATATTTTAATATCAAAATATCTTAATTTTTATTTTTTTACGGATGAAAATGAGATTTTTTAATTTGAAAATAAAAGTACCAAACACCTTTAATCAGTAAGAATAATTAAATCTAATAAAACTAGAGTGGGGTAATTTAAGATATTAAAATACTTATACAGTCTAGACTGCGTATAATTTAAACTCAAAAAAAAAAAAAGTCTATAAAATAATTAATTAAACTATTAACAAAAAGATACTTCATTACCCATATGAAAGATTCGAAGCATTATTCCTTTTCTCCTCACTCGTCTCCAGCATGATAGTTTCACTTGGTTTGTCACGCAAAAAGAAATCTAGACTGAAAAAATCATTTTTGTAAATAAAATATCTGAAGAAGATGCTGTTTTTATCATTAAGGGCCCTTTCATTAGCAACATTGGAGGAAATTCTTGGCAACTCTCAAAAAATAGGCCGAGAAAGAATTAATTTACAAAAATAAAAATTGAAAAATTAAAAATTGAATTTAGTTAATTTGTGCAACGAAGAGAATCAAATGAAACCAAAATATTTTGGTTAATCAAAATTAATTTTGAAAGTTATAGAGTTTTTTTAATTAATTTAAAAAGTTATTTGGTTTTTTTTTTTTTGTAAATGGAGGGTTAGCTTCCAAGTAGTACAGAAATTTAAATTTCTAACTTGACCTCAAATTAAAAAATTTAAATGAATGAATATTAACTTATTAAATTTTTGTTGGTCTAAAAAGTTATTGATTGGGATGTTAAAAAACATATACTTCATTAATCTCAAAATAATAATTTTTTAATTAAAAATTTATTTTAAATTAATTATTATTTTTTCAATTAATAAGGTAGACCAATATTTTTTCAATTTAATCTTCTTGTTCTCCAAAATCTTAATCTGTGGAAAATGTCAACAAGCAATATTGTAAGAAAGACAGAGGGTGTGGAATTAGATATGTG